CATCCAGATGCTTGGTTTCATTTTCTTGTATCAGTGCATTGCATTGCCTCAGATTTCAGAATAATGTGAAGTGACAGAGTTAATGGCTGACTGCTTTGACATTCATCTGTTTTATCGGCGGTGCTCTCAAGTTTCATTGTTGTTTTACATTGACTGTTGTTTTGAGATAGCTGTTCATCATGGCGAAGGGAGCTCTCTTATTTCTACTTTCCAATGCTTTCTTTGAAGAGGATAATGAATTTTATCATATGCCTTTTTGGCATTCGTTAAGATGAGCAGGCATCTTTTGACCTATTAATTGCATTCCAAGAATCCACTTTACTTAGACATGTTACAGTGTATTTAATTTGCTCATATTTAATTTAGGAATTTCTAATTATTCATTAGAAAGATTAGGCTGTAATTTGTACCACTTTTTGATGTTTTATTCTTTTGGCTTTGAAAAGATGAATTGAGAAACTTTTTTCCCCTGTGCTATTCAACAGTTTGAAATAGTGTGTTATTTTTTCCTTTTATCAACTGCAGTGGCTCCAGGAATATCATGCCACAACCAGTTCTGAAAATTCTCCTCCTTTCTTTCCATCACCTCCTGGGGAACTCCCACTTATTTCCTCAGACCCAGCTCAAGCATCAGTACTTTGGCACAGCCCTCTCTGTGCATTCCCATAATACATGCCTTTATTCTAGCATAATCCTACTATAATTTATTCCTCTATTATCCCACTTTCTCACTGAAATCTAAGCTCCTTGAAGTGGGTTCAGTCATGTATGCATTAAAAAATTATTTTTTTTCTGAATTTCAGGGCTGCCCAATACCTGGCACATTGCATGTGCTAAATAATTCTTTGTTACAAGAATACATCCATGATACATTTTTGCTTTAAGTTTTCCTGTGAAAAGATTTCAAAGAGTTATGTAATTCTTTGCCTTTCATAAACAACAAAGTGCCCTTCTGCTCACTGTGCTAGAAAAATAGATGTGAAAGGACAAGGTATAAGGTGAAAGAATTAAGCATTAAAACAATGAACAGCTATCAAAGTTCGATATTAATAATAGGTAATGTGAATTGTGCACTTACTACATTTCAGACCTGAAATTATCCAATTTATTTCTCATAACAGGTCTATGAGGTAGATTGCATCTTAATTTTAGATGTGAGTATACTGAATTTCAGAGAGATTAAGGAATTTGTGTGAGATTAATAACTAACTGGCGCATTATGGAGCGAGAATTTAAACCGAGACTTTCTGAATGCCGAGTGCACCATCTGGAAACAATTCTATATTGATTCACCAGTAGATTGCATGTGAGAAAGGAGACAAATAACAAGCAACTGGTGAAGATGGAGAAATCCTACTTCCCAGGTATCACCAAGTGCACAACAGGCAGAAAGAGAAGTACTCCACACCTACGCTTCACTTTTGCATCACAGGTAGCTCTTCTGCTTTAAGTGGGGCTAACACTAGGTAAGTTTCCTTTCAGTTTCTGTTCTGATGTTGCTTGAGCTTAAAAGGACGAAAATGGCCTGTGTGGTCCTTGACCACCTCTCTTGTTCCTTCTGTGGAGGTCAAAAGGGTACCAAGACAGGAAAAGGAAGTAATTTTCCTTTAACACCCACATTCCTCGATTCATGAGCTCATGGCCTTGAGCTACAAGTGAATGACTCTGACCTATAATCTGAAATGAGTGACTTCACTACCCTATACACAAGGCACACGAGACGTGCAGAAAGGACTGCTGGAAGGACAGCTGAGCATTTCACTGCTGACGAGCTAGTGCTGACTGCTGCTTATTCCCCGCCATTCGGGCTGCTCCCCCACTCCGGGCTGTGACCCCAGTGTGAGTGATACGTGGCAAAAGGGTGTTTGAAGATTAAAGACCCAAGTCACCAGAGGCTGCCATTTCACTGGAATATTTAGACCTTTTCCACTTGGCAGTCATTAATATTCTTCAGCAAAGGATGAACTGAAAACCCGTTCAAAAAGGTTCTCCCTTTCAGATCTTTGTACCTTCGAAGATGAAGTGAATGCTGGGGTTTTGTTTTGAAATTAAATATTCATTGGACTGGGTTAAAACTATGACTGGTCTTGAGGACAAATGGAATCTTTCCTTTGTTTTCAAATAACTAGTCATTTTACTTAAGAATCAATGTCTGTACTGCAAAGTCAGGGTAATGCTTGGTGTGATTTTTCTAACATAATAGACACAACTTGGAATTGAACACAAAAAGACTCAAAAGTATTTTATAGAGGGAGCATGAGGGATCTGACATCACAGCAGCCCTGGGAGACTCTGGAGTAGAGGGAAGAGTTGAGAATCAGACCTCGAGAGCCTGGCAGCTTCTGGGTGAGCACTTTGTTCGGCGTGTGGATAGCTCTATTTTCTAACATTTGAGTTTCAGTTTCCTAAGCTATAAAATGAGAGGCCTCTTCCTTTTCTCTTGGGGTTTGTGGGAAGATTTCAAAATACTAGAAAATGAGTAGGACATTTACAGGAGGAAATGTCTCTTCCTTTTCTCTTGGGGTTTGTGGGAAGATTTCAAAATACTAGAAAATGAGTAGGACATTTACAGGAGGAACATAAAGTTGACAGCTATTCATGTATTGTTTAAAAAGATTTATTTATGCATACAGGAACTGGGGATTGTTCGAATTTTATCATTAAGTACTAAGAACTGGTCACCAACTGGCTTTCAAGCCACTTAACAAGTTTGCTTAAAAAATGAAGATCTTGTGGGCCCCTCCCTGCTGGCCTATAGGTTAAGTCTCAGTGCTATCACCACTGGGGCCTGAATTCCATCCTCAGCTAACTAACATTTGGTTCAGCAGACTTCTCCTGTCTCACCTGCTGCTTCCCTCAGCAGTGTATTTCAGTCAGTCTGCCTGTTTTGCTCCCCACTGTCTCTGGCAAATGCTCTCACCTCCAGTATTTCTGGCCTACACCTCAGTTCTATGCATAAATAAATCTTTCTTTTTTTTTTTTTTAACAAACCTTTTAGGCACCGCTGCTCACACTTCTCTTGAATTTAAACATCTTCTAAAGGTTTTCAAAGCTTTGAAGGTTGATTTCCATGAAACTGGGTTTTATTCTATGCGTTTTTCTGTCATTCTAAGTAAAACAAAAAACATTCACTGTCAAAACAAGGGTTTGCTCTCAAGCACAAAAATGAAAGCAGATATGTCTGCCTGATTTATTTTGGCATCTGCCTAGCAGTTAAATAGGACACCTTTTAATTTGTCACTTCCTTAAGATTCATTACGGCTAGAAAAGTAAATCACCAGTGTTTGGTTTCAGCTAAACTTGAACCAGGAGCAAAAAGGTATACTTATTCTTGATGCCTTAGACACAGACCTGTTTAAAATGCCAATTAAAGAAGAAACTGTATATTTAGCACCATCCTTAACGATAGTAATGTCTACTGGAATTGTTTTTAAATTACAGGAATGTATAATCTAACTTATGACTAAAGATCAAGGGGAGGTCTAGGAAGAGGTATAAGAGGGCAAGATTTTCAACAAGACTTTGTAGACTATATTTAAAAGAGTGAATATCCAACTTATGTTTTTTTTTAAGATCAACCATGAGTAAGGAGACTTAGAAGTCAAATCTCAAATTTGCTAGCTAGAGAAGTAACTGATCTCAACAAATATATAAATTGGGGATAATATCTGCCTCCCCCCAAGTTATTTAGAGAATGAACCAAGGCAAAGGTCATCACCTAGCACCATCCCTATCAGGCATTAGTTGCTCAACTAGTGTGAGCTGTATCCACAAGTCTGATGTTATTCAGAAAACCTGTAACACTGCTGGCAATTCAATCTCAGAGTGAGCATTTCTTAAAGTATGAAGGTTGTTTCTTCTATCTGTCCCAAAGGAACTTGCTGGGAGACAAGCCGGTTCTCTTTTTCTTAAAGTTTACAATAACATCTGTTTAATACTTTCTGTATAATGAGGCCAGATTGAGGCCATGTGTTTATGTAACCATTAAAATAACCATTCCTAAACAGAAGTGATTTTAGGCATCTCAGTGACCTCATTACACATAACCTGTAATGTGGATGGTTATTAGATAGATGAACTGATTTAGTTCCAAAAGAGATATGACACAGACACATACACACATGTACATAGCAGCACAAATACATATATATGTGTATGTGTGTACATGGCTTCTGTTCTTCAACACACACAAAGGTCCAGGTCTGGTTTCTTATTTGTTTTGCTTATTGGGCATGAAGTGTGTAAGGAACATGAAGGGAAACAAATACTTTCTTCTTTGGTTCCCTTAAAGCTGATGATGTTGAAGTGATCTATGGCAAACTCTTTGAGTCTAATTAACCTTGGTTTTTCAACCAAGTTTAGTGGGGATTTCTTTTTCTTTTTCTCTTTTAAAGACGTATTTATTTATGTGTACAAGAACTGGGATACAGGCTAGAGGTGTAGGGGTGAGAGGATTCACCAGAGACAGAGTGGGGAGCAGAACAGGCTGATTGACTGAAATGCGCTGTTGAGGGGAGTATTGGGCAAGGCAGGTGAGGTCTGCTGTGCCATGTGCATCAGCTTCCTGGCCAGGGATCGAACTTGGTTACAGATAGCCTCACAGTGCTGCCCTTTAACCCCTTGTGCCACCAGAGAGGCCCAAGAATTTTTTTTCTTTTGGTAAAAAATATAAATCCATAGGGTGAGTCTTGGTGTTTTGCAATCTTAAAAGTTCATGCTAAATGGGCTGCCAACACCCTGTCCACGCAGAGCTTTCTTCTTCTGTCATTCTCTGCATTCTCTGCTGTGTCTGCTTTCCCAAGAAGAGCAGGTGTCTACATTCAACTGCAGGTGAACTGAACTAATCCTCAGAGCAACATTCTCTTTCTGGCCCAGTATCAGGAAAGCAGAGGCCTTCACCTGGTCAAATGGTGGCTTCGACAGAAGCAATTTCCTCCTTTAGGGCTTCATCGGAATATCCAGTAGAAACTTGGGAATAAAACCAGGCTAAGCTGTTGTTCTCAAACATGTTTATTTGTAACAGTTTTACATGGCGTGTTACAGAAATTAATGGAAAATTTCTAAAAATTTTGCTGTTCTGTCGTATGCATTGTACATAAAGTTAAAAATAATGTGTCCATATATGTTAACAAACTGTCATCTGAGGTAAAGTTAAAGTAGGTCTAGAAATGTACTGCAACAGTCATTTTCTCTTTCTCATCTTTATTAAAAAAATATGTGTCAGAACACAGAAATTGAAATGAACCAAACCCACAGAGTAAACATTTTTTTTTTTTTTAAAAGAAGGTGCCCGGTACATTACACGATGGGGTTTCAGTAGACACTGGGATGAGTACAAATTATCAAAAAAGTCTTGCAGTATGGAAAGATTGAAGAACTATGGGGGATGGGGACAGAATGACAGGTGGCATTTCCCTGGTTTTAAAATTTAAAGTGACAAATTTAGTGCTAGTGAAGGATGAGGAATTAACAGTTGCACACATGGATTTTCTGTCCATCTAACCAGAACGGTGCAGGCTCCCCCATGGCCTTTTGGTATCGGCACCTCAGCTTTTACTTGGAAATTTCACTGTATTCCCAGGATGGGGGTGGTTCGGTCCTCACCAAACAGTGCTTGTTCAAAATCAGAATTCTGCCAACGATTACCTAAGACAGCAGCTTGAAACTTAGCTTGATTTCCCTCCCTTTAATGCATCACATGGGCATCTCATGTAAGTTCAGAGGCAGTTACATTTTCAATCACAGTCAATGACTGATGTCAAGTCCATCAGACTGTCACTTCCTGCTGCAAATTGAACTCCAGATGGTATTCCCGAAACAGCAATATCAGCCAGAGTTCACTTTGCACGTGTCAGACACAGCCCAAAGGATTATACAATGGTGTGGCACTGCAGGGCAGACTCGAGACAGCCACGTGGAGGGAGACGATAGCACCACTTGCTCAGAATCAGAATCCAGACGACACAGCAATTTAAGCTGTTTCCCACGGGAGCTGCCTATCTTATCAAATCCCCAGAAAACACAATAGGACTGGTTTCAGAATGACTCTCATGTTATCAAACCTTTCCTGTTCCCCTTTGTAAAGGATTACCAAGTCACAAAATGTACGCACATCCCAGAGAAATCACGTGGACCAATAGGTGATCGCTACGGAGGGAGGGAGGTAAATGGCCCTTCTCATTTCTCTGGTTCTTCAGACTGTCCACATTAGGACATTTACGTATATTCTAGAAGAAACATCTGGTCAGCAATCTTTACTGGACAAGAAATTAGACTCCAGTAACCTGATAGCATGAGATTTGAGCTTCAGAGTAACAATCACCTTGACATCAACTTTTTTCTTTGTTACCAAGTATTCCTCTTTCTGAGTTGTTTTAGTTTCTATTGATATGAAGAACCAAAGTACACAGGCCCATTTAAGTCAATCATATCAATATAAATTATACTTTTCCAATTTTAAAACCAAGTAGCAATAATCACCCCCAAATCCAATTAACCACATGATTCTTTGAACTTTCCTTCTTAGTGTTAAACCACTAAATTCAACATACTGTAACTGCATAGGAACATCAGGAAAACACATTTGACCTGTAGAACAATTCTCTGTAGGGCAAAAATATATAGATTCTTTATGAAAATCATGTGCTAAACATACGAACCGAACACTGCACTTTTTGTCTCATCAATGTAAAAAAAGGAAGCTTAAACTCTTCTGTTTCACATACAAACAGCCCAGTGATCTCTAAGGGGTAGGCAGAAGTGGAGAGGTGGGAGAGGGCTTCAGGATCAACAGGACAGGCCCACACCACGGGACTGTCTTTTCGTGTTTAACGCAAGGGCGGGTACTCGCGAGGAAAGGCCAGGTGATGGTGTCACATGCTCCCTTCCTGTGTGCGGGCTGCTGATTGGCCAGCTGCTCCTGCCAGCTGTTCCCGACTCCAGCTTCCTACCATCTGCTCCAGAATAACATCTGGAAGGTGAGCCCCATCCATCAAGTTTGTCACATCTTGCACTCAATCTGCTACCTTCTCTACAGTGTAATGGCATTATTAAAAAGCATTTCATTAACATATTTACAAAAAAAAAACCAACCTGGCATCTTTTTTCATTAGAACTCCTTAAAGCCATTTCCCTTAAATATTTAAAGAGTTTAATGGTAAGGTTTTTTTTTCTCAAGTTATAAAATAAAAATCCCATTTGAATTTTCTGATGTACAAAAAGAGAGAGAGATGAACCACTGTGATCACGGAATCAGCTTTGTTATTCTGAATATTCATGTCACTGTTGTCCTGTCAGAAAGTCAGTTTTTAAGATCCAAAACCAACCACATTACCAGGATTGTACCAGAATTATTTGGCAAATGACTTTTCTTTGAAAATGGCACGTGGAGAAGACACTTGTCTGCATAGCATCACAGCAGCAAGATTATCGGAAAAATAAAAAATATCATTATATTGTACTTAAGAGTTTAGAACTTCTTAGGAAATCAGATGCATTTTCCACCTTTCTCATCAATGGGATTTGATGTCCTTTCCTACTAATAGAATGAAAGTCCAAACCAAACGCTGTCTCTCTTCACTAGGATGCAGGATAGTAAATGTTTTGGCAACATTCTTGATCTTAAAGAATCATCAACCACTTGTCTTGTTCATGAGCCTTTTTCTCCAGTTAGATCTCTTCACCCACATCTAAAAAAGGTCAAAAGCAATACAAAAATTTGTACACCCATTAATTTTCAAACATGACAAAGAAAGGAAAGGGGGGGGGAGGTGGAGAATGGCAAACCAGGTCCTGTGAAGAAAAAACATCACCATATGTCAAAAGGCATATGGGTGATAAGACTGTAGTCACAGAGGGTCTCTTGCTTTGCCTAGCAGAAGCGAGCGCCAATCCTGTTGTAACTCTCTGAGATCTGTCATTCCAAATGTGAAGTCTCTACAGTGCTCAATATGTAGAGATAAAGAGAAGGATGATTTTGCATTCTGGGTCATCTTCAACCCATGCTAAGAGAGCTCAGGATATTTGTTGGGCAAGCATTTTCTTCATATAATTTAACAGTGGGTATGATTATTTTATATTTGCGTGTATGTTTTGTGCTGCCTTAGACATCCGCCATTGGTTGCCAAAAATTCTTAGTTCCCTTTTCCAAACGAGTTCCATTGGGGCAATCATGAATGTCTTCGTGGGATGAGGTGAAGTGAAAAAATACAAGAGAGCCTGTCGCGACGCTGATTTCCATGCCAGTCTTGATGCACCCGCCACGAGCCCACACTGATGCTATTTCTTAGGTCTGATGATCTGCGCATAGAGAGGCTCCAGCTCCTATGGACAGAGGAACAAAATGAGACCCGCTCTTTTTCAGACAAGATATCCCGAGACAGCTTGGGAAGGAGAGTTTGGGATTAGAACAGAAAGGTGACAGTTGATGATGGATGACTCAGGTTATTTTTGGATTATTTGATCATGGTGCATGTCATTTTGGCAATTTCTATTTTTATCCTCAAGAAGAACTACTCACCCAGTTTTGTTCCTATTTTCAAGCTGAAGTTGATGGCCCTTTGAGGAAATAGCATGGTATAGTAGAGAGAGCTGGGCAAACTGTGTGATATGGGCAAGAAATACCTCTTTTGAGCCTCAAGTTCCCCAATCGTGAAATGAGAACAAAACTTTCTCCTCCAGAATCCTGAGAGAATTAAAGATCAAATATAAAGTGCCTAGTGCAATGTTTACAGTAACAGGTATTCAGAAAATGGTAACAATTATGAGTTAATTGGGTATTTTTCCAACAGTTTCCTGATGTCCATTTGAGACCACTGAAATTTCATCACTGCTGTTGTTTCTACAAACACTGATGACTGGGTACATTTTTAAGCAAAAATAACAGTGACTGTGCCTTTTGCTCTATGTTAAAAGCTTCTGGGTTTGTTTCCATTATACCTGTTCCAACAGTCAATTGTGTTCACCCCGGGGGTGTCCTGAGACACCCACAGAAACTGGCATCAGTTAGGATAGAGCAAATTGTCCGGCCAAATCAGGTGGGAAGTAACATTGGGTTCTGTCCAAACCACCTCGAACTTCATGATCATGTTCAATGGTCCAGGATGCCCTGGCAGGGCAGATCAGATCAAAACTCTGGCTTAAGCACACAAAGGCCCTCTTGCTAGCGTCGACTTTTAGGCTGTCACTCTTGGATGAAATGGACACAGTGACATCTTCATTCTGGTACATATTCTATATTAGGCTGCCTCCTGCCTTGTTATCTTGAACCATCAGACTGAACCTCAATTCTATGATTCCTGTGTCTGGCACTGTACACGGTATTTTCAAGTAAAAGTCTTTGTAAACTCATCACAGCAGCCTTCTAAGGCAGGTATTTATCTCTCCTGAACATGAGAACTAAAGCACAGAAAAGTTAAGCAATTTGTCCATGATCACAGCGCTAGTAAATTTGGGAAGTGAGACTCAAAATTAGGATCCAGTGCTTTTTATTCTAACTACAGCCATGAGAAAAGATACGGGCTGCTCCATTTGCAGTGTTGTAAGTGCTTCGGAGTTAATGCAACAACATCATGTATTAGTTTATCTAACAGTTCTGAGAGGAACTGTGCTAATTTCCATTGCATTTGCAGATAAAAACTGAAGGCCAGAGAGGCTGTGTGAAGCACAGTCAATGTACTACCTCTTGTGTACTCAGTTCATTATATTATATTGCTTGCTTTTATTGTAAGTGGGAATGGACTACAAGATCATTTTGTTCAGTCCTATCACTTTACAAACGAGGAATTGAGTCCCAGAGAAGAGTTCCATGAGCAGCACCCACACTGGGGCCCTTGCCATCATCACACTCTGTATATTTTCCTTTAGAACTTGCTATACTATGTTCTTCCAGGAGAAGGTGCTACCCACCCTAGGAGGCACCGTGTTCTGTATTAAACCAAGTGACAATTTGTCCCCTCAAACTTGCCACCCACAGGACATCATCCCAACTTTGAAGATGTAAAGAAGTGTCAGCCTTCCAGATGTCCATCCCTCCTGTCCTTCTGCTGTCCTTATGTATGTGGACCCAGCACAGTAGATGCTCCACGAATTGACTGACTGAATGATTATGATAGTTTCTATTTTGTTCCCTTTTCTCATTCCTTTGTCCTAAATACACTCCACTTTAGCTTTATTTCCTTAAAACCTAATCTAGCAAAACGTGTAACAAAATGATGTATTAAGTAAGGAATCTATTCCTCACCAGTGTCTTGAAATGTTGCAAATACTTAAATAAGGTTATATTGTAACTTCACTGTGTGTTTGGGTTCTGGGAGCCAGGCGGTTTGTGTTGTAAAGTATTAACTACATCTACTAGAACAGAATGTTTGCTTTCCCCTAAAGGGAGGTACAAAGGTGCATCATAATCTTCTCTGGGTAGACTTTGTCAGCCCACTCTTGTTTCAGGATGCCCTGAGAAGTCAGGTTGCCTTGATCTCACCCTACAATTTGTTCTATTCTAATTTTGGAATCTAATTTATTCAACTGAGAATGACACCTAAAAACAGAAGAAGACAGCAGGCTCATACAGGGTAATTAATGCCACACTGCATTAACTTTCTGCAGCTGAGATAAATATTCACACATCTCCTGCTTGCCGGAATTTAGCTTCAAATACCCATCACAACAGCAGTAACGACTGCAGTCAACTCTCAATTATCCCCACTAATGAAGGGGAGCAGTGGTGTGGAAAACCCCAAGCAGCAGATAATCCCAAAGTCTGACACTGTGATGTATTATACGTTTTGGCAATCACTTTACCTTCCTTGTTACAGAATCTTAGACTGTCAGAACTAACGGGGAGCTAAGAAATCATTTGGTCCAGAAATTCCTGACCTGCCTTCTGGGAAGGTCACCATGGTTCTTCAGGCTTTTAAAAATATTCCAAAAGCCCTCAGTGGACTCATACACGAACAGAACATGCTATTGGTACTTCTCTGTGTGTGTGTGTGTGTTTTGGCAGAACTGACCATACCTCTGTCCTGCTTTAAATCCTTCAAAGGTTACCCATCAGCCACAGAGTAAGGTCCTCTGCTGGACATGCAAGATGCATTAGTCTCCTAGTCCATTAGAGCTAATAAATACTCGTCCCAGACTCAAACATCAGGTCCATAAATCATGCTTAAACATTTTTTTCTTTATGCCTCTGCCAGAGTGATCGGTTTGAGTTGGATTTGGTCATGCCAGTATGTTTTAAGTGGACTGCCTCCTGATCATCCCAAAGATAAAGCAATCTCCTCCAGAAGGCACAGAAGCCCCTTCCAACATGGCTCCCCCTTCTTCCTCCCTCTCTTACTTACTCCTCCCCCGTGCCCAATCTTCCAAAACCCCCGAGGGTCACCTGGCTATGACAGATTTTCCCATCTATGAGACTGTGCTCAGGAAGTTCCTTCTCCCTTCAGAAAGTCTTTGTTCTGCAGCTGGGGTTGCATCCTCTCCACCCAACTCAAACACAAGGGCGTCCAGGACTCGTCAGGTGAGAAATCCGTACATAGCCATATGAGAGAACTGGGGTGTACGGGGTTATATGCTTGTCTAAAGTCACCTGTTTGGGGGAATCATAGTTCAGATCCAAGTCCCTTGTCCCCAACTCTGCCTTTCCTTTTCTTTCTCTCTCTCCTACCCCACCCAAGATCCCAAGATTCTTTCTCTTAAAGCATTTCAGGTTCAGTTTTGTTTTTTTTTTCTTCTTGAATACTAGAAATTCATCAGGTAGCATTGCTCATATTTTGGGTTCCCTTTATAAAGTTCAGTATAAAAAAATCACAGCAACTTTATAGTAGTGTCTATTGTTATTTAGGCAGACAGAACAAACAACTCACTATTGTTACAGATGCTACTTTGACTTGACAGCTGGGAAAGTCTGATAGGCAGTTTATTTACTTAGCCATTTAACCAAATACATGTTTTCATTTTTCTTTCATCTCCTCAAAAGCTAACATTTCTCCCTTAAAATTGCTCCAGTAACACATCAGTGAAGTATAAATTACCTGCCATTTCCATACCAGTTATTAATATTATTTTGGTTCTTTTTTGCCCCCTTTGACCTGTCTTTGAAAGACATGTGATTCTCTCAGAAGAAGCATGGGGGGTGAGGGTGAAATAATTGAAAATAGTTTCCCTTTATTGTTAAAAGAGAAATGCTGTTGGAGATGGGCCAGAAGTTTCCACTTGTCAAGACTGAGTCTGCTGGCTTCCGCTGACTAGCATGTGATGTGGATTTCACTTATCAATAGTGTCACCCCTACCTATTCTGCTGTGTGGCTATTTCTAACAAAAAGCAATTGGAGAAAATGGTCCCAGGGTGATAAGGATGGGACGCCTACTCTTCAACTGTAGGAGGGTAGAGGAGATAAGAGAGCCATGGATATAAGTACCCCGCACAGTATTCCTCCCCCAAATGTCTAGAAAGGCATTAAAATCGCAGTTAGTAAATTTCCAGTTGGGTGGAAGGGTGAATGAGATGGGGACAGAAAGAGCATGCCTGGCTCATGCTGCTGTTGATGGAAGAGCCAGAAAGTTCACTTGGATTTCTCTCATGGGTGTCTAGGGATGAAGTCTGCAAGGCTGGCATCAGCTGTATGACTGCCAGGTGAGCTTTGAGAGGGAGAATGTTGCTTCATTGAAGATTACAGTCTATGGTGGCGTAGGGAGTAAGTCTCAGCACTATCAGCACTGAGGCCTGAGTTCAATCTCCGAGCAAGGAGCTAACACACATGGTGTAACAGACCTCTCCTGTGTTGCCCGCTGCTCCCTTCAGCAGTATATTTTAATAGAGCTGGCTGTTCTGCTCTTCACTGTTTTTGGTGAATCCTCTCAAACCTCCCACTTCTGGCCTACTCCCCAATTCTTTAATGCATAAGTCAAGAAACAAATCTTTACAAAAATATATTACAATCAAGCTATCCTTTGGAGCTGAAGTTAACGTTTCATGATTTACATGTAAGTCTAAGACTACTTATGTTTTAGAAGCTTGTGGGGCCCGAAATGATGTGTTTCTGATTATAGGGTAGGGGGATCCAGAAAGCTAAAAAGTAGAGTTTCTCTTTTTTCCCCCAAAGCTGTTTCAAGGCATACTGAAAATTAATTATCTGTAGATAATAATATAAAGCAAATCCTCCCAGCCAAGGGCCCTAGGTCCTTGTGGTAATTTTCTTTTTAAGATTTATTTATTTATGCTTATAGAACTGTAGAACTGGGGTACAGGCCAGAGGTGTGGTGGGTGAGAGGATTCACCAAAGATAGAGTGGGGAGCAGAACAGGCAGATTGAAAAAGTACACTGCTGAAGGGAGCAGTGGGTGAGCCAGCTCCCTGACCAGGGATTGAACTCATGTTGTAGTGGCTTTGGAGAGCTTCATAAGGTGGTGCTTTAACCCACTGCACCACCAGGAAGAGCCCGGTAATTTTCTTTTTTAACATAAGGGCTAAACAAAATTCAAGGAAGTAGGGGACCAAAATTTATTTAACACACACAGGAGTGATGATGATGATGATGGTGGAAGTTGGTGGTGGCAGGTAATATTTATTGGCTGCCTTCTCCACATGGGACACTATGCTAAGAGCCCCATACACATCACCACCTCATTCATCCCAAACACTGGGAGGTAGGTACTATCTTTCATCCTTATTCTTCAAAATAAAATAGAGGTTGATTAAAACAACCCATCAGGGTCACATAGTAAGTGGAGGAAACAGATTCTCAACTCAGTGTTCTACGCACAGAATTTAAAGGTAAGTTTAAGCTAAAAGCCTGTCTTCATGCTGGAGACCCAATATACGCTATCTCAGTTAACGTGATAGGTAACATGAGCCCTCGCTAGTAGATGAAGACACAAACGAAATTTTGGTTTCTGCCCAAGATTTACCCAAGATTTCTTGTGATGAAGTAGCTGAGCTAGAATTTGAACACAAGTTCCAAATCCTAAGCTCTTCCCACTACACCATGCTACATCCATGTACAACTTAGCCGTGACCTGGGGTTCTGGATGGAGCATCCACCGTGGAGAGCTGAAGCCTGTTGAGACAGTTCAGCATGCCCAACTGTTTCAAGTTGAACAGGCTCAGAAAGATGAGAGTTTGATACATAGATCTGCAAATGGTGTAAGGCATCTTTGTTTTTTAGAACTTCAATTTTAGGATGATGTTTACTGTTATTCTGATGAATGGCTCTTGTCACCTCTGGTTCATTCATCAAATTTTTCAGGGCAAGATTGAGCATGTTAAATAAAACATACACAATGGGTAGAAAACCTCTTGGGGAATCTTCCCAAGGATTCCAACCATAACCCCCCCATTTTCCTCTTTCCTACAACATTGATATTGCCTTTAATTCACCAGCTCCCCAAATAGCTTTGCAAGGCTGAATTTTTAGATGATTATTCCATGATTCCGTGGGGGCATAATGTGTTGTTATGTGCTGCTGTACTGGTAAAATGTAGCAAACAGACTGTATGTTATGTTCTTTCATCCTAAAATCTATTAATAAATGCACTTTCAAAAACACTGCATTCGTTTTCAATAGCAGTCAAAATAACTTATATGTGAACTGAGAATGATTCCAAGGTAGTCTCAGAACCCATTTATGAACAGTGAAAACGATTTACCATTTTAATGGTTCTGATCATGCTGTTCAGGACTAAAAAAGGAGCTCTGTGGGGACAGCCTTGCTGTCCTACACATTCATGGACAACCGGGAAAGGATCTGAAAATTGAACACATTTGTCAAGGAGTGACCTTCGAAATCACGTCGAGGTAACAAGGTGTACTTCTGTCTCCTGAGAAGGTTTGCTTCATCAGCTCCTCTTTCTTTCGATCAAATCAGATGTATTGAAATTCAAGTGTCAAAAGCCACTTGTGGTAAATGTAAGTACACCTCTCTCACAGTAGCTGCTGATGGAATCTGAAGTGGCCAGTGGCAAACCGTGCAGCAGCACAGGTGCAGCTGGAGCACCTCTGAAGCCAAGTTACCTGCTGTTGTCACTTCAGAAAGGACCTGGGACCCCTCCGGCCTCTGGCTGGATAGAAGGGGCTAGCCTTGTGACTGTACACCATTTCCATCTTATCCCAAGCTTGGTTTTGTTTCTTAGTCTGGCTCCTCAGTGCGTTTGCTTGGTGACCTCTTTATATCTATGGGTGTGGGCAAATGCAGTGGCACCTTGTTTAAAAGATGAAAGCAGCTGGACCACACCTCACTGAGAAATGACCGGGGTGGGCAGAAGGCGTCCAGCTCAGAATGGTGATGCTTTCAGAAACTTAGTCCACCTTAGGTAGAACTGACCAGGCCTTATTCCACTACCGCTACCCATCCAGGACATGTCACTGATAAAAGATGATGATGATTCCCCACGCCTCATCCCTACTTCCCAATAGATGTCAAAGGTCATGCAGCCATGAGGACAAACAGGTGGAAACAGACATCAGACAAGGAGAGATGACCCAGGCATCAGGGATATGTCAAGCAAGGGGAGAAGGTGGGAACACTGAGAACATGGCTTCCGAACAAGCGAGAGGCAAGGCACACGGCTTAAAGGTGAAGGAGATTAAAAAGGACAGATACCTACCCAGACCTGTGCTATCTAGCTACCGGCCTGTGGACTTATATTATCGCCACTGGGCTCCCCACTGGGTTCACCAAATGGATCACTGTTGGAGGAGGCCTGTGATCCATCAGGCTAGAACACAAGAAGATAACACTTTTTTTTCTTTTTTCCTTTTCAACAATTGAAAAAATAAGACATAAAAGCTGGGCATATTTTCATGCACACATATCATCAGTTACTTCAAAGGGGGCAGCAGCAGCTTCAGGTAGCGTATGCTACACCCACAAAGCAAGAACTTGTAGCAACAGCTTAATGAAAGGACAAAGGTTTTCAGCTGCTCATTTGACGTAAAGAAAAAGCCCCTTTACCAGCTCCTTTAGAACTTAAAAGTCTGAGCCAGCATTCATTTCTTTGTAGTTTTTTTTTTCTCATGCACTGTCCATGTCAGACATGGATGATTTAATTTTAAGGAAAAATAAAACCAAAAAGAACAAAGCAGTCACTTACGGCTTCTTGCTCTTCACTTTTGCTGGGACTTTCAAAGCCCTCTTCAAAGATGTCATCTGTGGTGGGGTCGCTGGCATGGGAGGCAGATGATTTGGATGGAGAGCTCTGTCTGGGGGCTGGGGTTGGAGCTACATGGAGACCAGGCAAAGACAGGAAACATGGTAAATGTCTGACTGTGGCTAGTTACAGGCCACAGAAACCTCAATGATCTGGTTATGTTGGGTCAAATCACGAACTCTTCCCATCACAACTCCAATCAACAGAACAGCTTAACATTCTCTTCTCATGTTTTCCTCGTGGTCTCACACCCTGGGAGGTGAGGGAGGAGCAGTTCCACTCCTGGTCAAGGCAGGGTCTCAGGGCCGGCCCCTGGGGCAGCAGTAGCTGTGCTCACATCTGGGCACTTATGAGAAATGCAACTACTTGGACCCCACCCTAGGCCTAGTGAATCAGAAACTGAGGTTTCTACATACACGAAGTGAAAGTTTTTTTCTTTCCCCTCTCTCACTCTTTTTTTTTTTTTTTTAAAGATTTATTTATGCTTCTAAGTACTGGGATACAGGTCAGAATTGCAGGTAGGTGTGTGTGTGTGTGTGTGTGTGAGAGAGAGAGAGAGAGAGAGAGAGCGAGCACTCACCAGAGACAGAATGGGGAACAGAACAGACAGATGTACTGAAATGCACTGCTGAGGGGAGCAGTGGGCGGGACAAGAGAGGTCTGCCATGCCATGTGGGTCAGCTCCCTGGATGGGGACCGAACTCATGCTACTGTGGCTTCTGATACCATCATAGTGCTGGCTTTAACCTCTTGTGCCACCAGGAATTTTGCAGACAGTATCTCTAATCCTCATAGAGGTAGAACTACCTCTGTGAGGCAGGGCTAGCTTCATTTTATAGATAAGCACAAGAGTTCAAGGAAACAGTGGTGACTGGTAGGACCAGACCTTGCATCCTGGCATGAAGTAGGCATTTGTATACGTGAACTCCAGAAAGGGTCTCCAAGGTGTGGGAAAATGGATACAGTTGATGGCAACTTCACAGCTGGGACTTAACCCCCATTCCATAAGGATATGCATTTCCTGTCCTGCCTTCCCCACATTTTCCTTGTCTCATTTGTTCCAGAGGTTCACAACAAACATCAATTGAAGCTACTGCTACTTAGATAATTTCCAATTTGACATTAAAAATTGAAATACAGTTACTGGCTCAGCCCCAGGTGAGCTAATCCTCACTTGGGGCTTGATTTAGTAGTTGAATTGCAAGTGGCAATGATAAGGTCTTTTACCATAACTGTCCAGAACTTACAAAATTGGCTGCTTATCAGACAGTAAGGGATTGTAACACATGGGGAGTACCTTTTGCCTGATGAACCTATTTTAGAATAGTGATGCCATTTACTGTATGCCAGGAGTTCAGGCACTGTGCTAGACACTCTGAGTTCATCATGCCCCTTAACAAAAACAGTGAAAGGTAGTATTCACCTATTGTTTCTTTCTGATGAATGCAGGGCAGGCCAGGAAGTCAAATGACCTCATGGTTAATGTTGCTATGAACTAGGAGCTCTAGAATTCAGCTGTGCTTTACTTCTTTTTGAGGTTTAAATTTATTCTAACTAATGCCATTCAAAATATTCTAAAAGAGATGTTGATGGATAAGAGGATATAAAGATTGGTTTTATCCATTTTCTTCCAAATAAGAAATTTAAGTTATTATTATTTTTTAATTTAAAAGGCAGTTTTGTTTCATGAGATGATTATGGAACAAGTTATAGTAGGCATAGGAGGGATAAGCCATATAAAAACACCCTGATATGTGGTGGATGTATAATAGATATTAGAGCAAATGGGTCTGAACCATGCTGGATGGGGTTTATTGAGGCTGAGAATGTGGAGCAGCCAATTCTTCTGAGAGGTGCATAGCTCATACTTACAGGATGAAATCACAGGGAAGTAAAACTGAGTCTATGTGAGTGTTTCATCTTTAAAAGGTGCTACAGATTACCTCTATCCTCTCAAACAGAGCTTCTATCCTCTAAAACAGAGGTTCTCACAAAAATAATTTGAAAGGAAACCTGCACTCCTATGTTTACTGAAGCACTATTTACAATAGCTAAAACACAGAAACAACCCAAATGTTCCCAAACAGACAAATGGATCAAGAAGATGTGGTATGTGTATACAGCGGAATATTACTCAGCCATCAAGAAAGATATACTTGTGCCATTTGCAACAGCCTGGAAGGGATCATGATAAGCAAAATAAGTCAGAACAAGATAACTATGTAATGATTTCACTCACATTCATACCATAGGGAAACCAAACAAAGGATCACGAAAAGACAAAGCTAGCAAGCTGACCAGATATCTGAGGCATATAGCAAGGGAGAGTGGGAGAGAGGTCAGACCAGGGTAGGGAAGAACACAGGGGACTGTGGAGATGGATCACAGATGCTATGGTATTGGGAGAACTATAGGGACTGCACTTCTGACGAGAGAAATCAAATACTGTACAAAAAGTAACAACAATGTAAGGAAGTCAACAAATTTAATTTGAAAATAATAACACAGGGTTTTTAATGCTGAGGGAATTCACCCCCAGGAGACATTTGGCAACACCCAGGGTCATTTCTGATGGTTGGGACTGTGAGGAGAGGATACGTGCTTCTGGCATCTGCTGTGCACAGGCTGGGCTGCTGCTCAATGTTCTAGGGTGCAGAGGACAGCCTCGGCCACAAAGAATCAGCCATCCCAAGAGGTGGTCAGTGCCAAATTTGCACACCCTGCTCTAAACCTCCACGGTAACTGAATGAGCATTTTTTTCTCCTTTACAATCTTCCCCAAGTGCAATGTAGGTACAATCAAGAACAGTTCCTGTTCTCAAAGAGCTTAAACTTCCTTCTCTTATTTGCACTGACATATAAGCCCATCGAGAGAGAGGCTTTTGTTTTTAAGAGGCTTGCTTATTTATGCAAGGCTATCCTTTCTTCAGCGTTTCATTTTTTCTTCATTATTCTTCCTGGAAACCCCGTGAATTGGAGTTAATAGGGATGCCCCCACTGTGTGATCAGATGGCCTGGTTGGAAATACATTGTTTATACACATAGAAGGCATTCATTTTCTGAACAGCATCGTGAAGCTGGCCGAAACGACACTATCTAATTGTGTTAACATTAGATGTGTTTTGGGACAATTCACGGTGTTGGCCAAGCAGTGATCCGTATCATCTGTGACAGTAATGAAACCGCCAAACTCATTGTTCCATGAGGCTTTTCTTTTCCCTTATCAATTGTCAAGGCAGCTGCATCACCAGACACCTTCCCCGAAGGGTGTCGACCAAACATATGTGTGCTCGAGTGTGTCTGGGTTCTGATTCGCTGCATGGTTCCAGTTTTCCAGATGCTTGCTGTACAAAACTGAGCCAGGGTAGATCACTGAATACCCAAACTAGGAGGAAGCTCGCTGCGCATTCAACCCAATGCACTTCTTTTACCCATGACACTGCGGAATTTAAGGCAGTCATGCTTCTCAAAAAACACAGTGGCTGAGGAGCCAAGATGACAGCCAAGATGTGGTCCAGGGCTCTCCACAGAACACCTTCATGAGCAATCATGATGGTAAAAACACCTTAAACTCTGCAAGGCACAGAATGCTTTATTCCACATCCTAGTGAATCTTTTCCATAACCCTTATCTTAGCTAGATGAAGAAACTGTGGTTCATCAAAATAAAATGGCTTGCCCACAGGCATAGCACTCGTAAGGAATGAAGTTGCTCTTTCCAATGCAGAGTATTCTGCTATATGCCATCTACTTTTCTCCTTGACAACCTGAAGCTTTGAGCTGAAATCTGGCTTCCACAATGAGTCTTACGGATGCAACTTTCCTCCTGGCCTTCATGTTCTGCTCTATTTTTTTCCTTGTTGCCAGACTTTTAAAAAACTGTATTCTGTTTATTGAAGTGATATTTTTGGATAACACTCTATAATGCAGGGGTGTAAGTTCATCCCTTTTCAGATTTATGTCACCTCACCCACCATCCAGGCACCCCTAAACCTTCACATAGTCCATTGTGTCTCCTTCCCCCTTCACATTAAAATTTGAAAACTTCACATTTACTGTACCTTTTTTTTTTTTAAAGATTGATTACTGATTTATTTATGCATACAGAATTGGGGTGCAGGTCGGAGGTGCAGAGGCGATGAGAGGATTCATCCGAGACAGAGTGGGGCACAGAATTGGCAGATTGATGAAATACACTGCTGAGAGGAACAGTGGGTGAGACAGGACAGATCTGCTGCGCCATGTGGGACACCTCTGGGGCCCAGGATCAAACTTGCACCAAAGTAGCTGCAGTCAGCTGGCAGTGCTGTGGCCTAACCCATTGCACCACCAGGGAGGGCCCTTACCATAACTTTTTATATCAATATGTCATTGCAGAAATTTGAATGTCATAGTTCGTGTACACATAAAATGAATGAATGAGTAAATAAACAAAATCATAAGAGACAAAGGGACATGGTGGAAAAAGAACAGATTTGGATGCAAGTCTATCATTTTGCTGTCTCTTTGAACCTCACTTTCATTTTTTTGTCAAACTAGTTTAACAAAACCTGCCCTGAGTATGGTCATGAGAATAAAAATACTAAGCAGAAGGTATCTGGAGATAGCACCTGCATTATAATTGGTACCCTCTCCCCAAACTGGAAGCTATTTAATTGGTATCTAAACACAGACATCTGCTGAAGGTCACTAGATGAGATCTGACTCCAGAAACCCAGTCTCCAGAAGGGAAGCACGCCTCTTGCTGGGTTTATTATGTCTCCAAAGCAGGATACTCACGTGAATTGGTCGATGGTGTGGTAGAAGTCACAGGGGTCAAGTTCAACTGGGAGATGTCAAAGTCATCACAGTCATCTGTATCCTGTGCCACCCCGACTTTGTTGAAGTAACTGGAGAAGGCCTCTGAGGTACAGGTGAGGGAGGGTTGCTCGGGTTTGCGAGAGGGCACAGGTGGAGGCTGGGCCATCTGGAAATCCTTAAACATTTCTTTCCCCATTTTCTGCCTGGGCTTGTCGGTCTGTGGACTTGACCTGGAGGAGTCACCCGTGGCTGGGACAGTCGCAAGGGGGGTGAGGGGGCCTTGGAACATGGCGGCTGGCAAAGGCATAACAGTTTGTGTGGGCATGAAGGCGGCTGGCGGAAACTGCCCGGCCACAGCTGGCCAGGGCTGCTGAGTGGCAGGGAAGAGACCCGGCTGGCCCCATGCGATGGGCTGAGCCCCTGGCATCACCTGAGCGACTGGTGGCTGAGCACCCATGGCGATCTGCTGCTGGACAAGGGGCTGCTGGCCCCAGAAGGATGGGAGGACGGCGCCCATGGCAACATAACCTGGAAGGGTAAAAAAGAAGAGTCAAAGCAGCTCGGGTACGAATGACCTGTGGGTGAAACGACTAGCCAACACGTATGAGTGACGAAGTGTCACTGAGTGTCGCTGTGTGTGAGAGGGCGGGGCTGCAAAGACAAAGGGGCATAAGACCCTCTGTCACAGAGCTGTTCTTCTAGGCAGGCAAGGCCTCTTTAAGGAGAGGATTCATGCACTGGAGCCAGAATGCAGTGAGGAAGCAAGCCTGGCAAATACCTGGAGTGGGTGATACTAACAATCCTCATCTTTCTACATTTGTGAAAGGCTCCGGGGGCAGTGAGGCCAGTGGAAAGGATTGGAGATCAGGCCCAGCTGGGTTGGAGTCTTGCCTTCTTTCTTGCTAGATTGAGGACATTCCTGACTCCTCAGGCTCACTCTGAGTCAGTCTCTTTGGTGTAAAGCCAGGTTATAGCATCTTTTCCCTCAGCATCAAAGCAGGGAGAATTAGGGATCTGAATAGTGGCATTTTAGAGGCCTAGGTTAAAATTCAGACTGTCAATTCTTGGAATTTAGTGGGAACCTGCATGCTCTAAGGCTCTACCTTATGTCTAAAAGAGGAAAAAAGCAAAAAACCCTTTGCTTCATGGGGCTGGTTTAAGGATTAGTGGAGATGACACACTTCAGGCATGGCACAGTCCACCTGACAAAGGTCATTCTGCAGATGTGAGGAAGCGGTATGACTTGAAGGAGATAGAGCTGACAAGACTTAATACTTTGCTTGTATCTATAAGAGAGGTGAATGGTAGCTGTAGGTATTTTTGTGTATTGTTTCCCTATGATAATGATGCCAATTTTAGAGATTAAAATAATGTCAGTTAAATAGTGTCAGTTACTGGCAACTCAAGAGCACTGGGCACAGCAGTGTAGGTTGGGCCCTGCAAATCCCTTGGGGGTGCACTCACCTGTGGACTGTTACATTATGGTAATTGTTTGATGTAGGAGTCCTTTTCAAAGGAACTTGGGTGACACTATTTTATAATAATTTTATAATTACTATAATAATAACCTGTTAGATGCCTACTGTGTGATAGGTAGGTACAATATCTTTGCAGGGAAGATATTAATATATCCCACTTGGGGATAAGGAAACTGGTACTCAGAGAGGAAAAAAAAAAACTTCCCACAGTATTTGTGCCAACAGGACACGGCTACAGCAACCTGAACCTGCGATTCTATGTAAGTTTACAGACCTGACTACTCAGAATGTCTTCCAGTGTGGCTGAACCTGGGGATTTCCTCATCAAAACACCTTTTATTATAAATTAGCTTTTTTCCATTTCTTCTTCAGCTACAGTGACAGCATTTTATTGATTTTTGAAAAACTGTGTAGGTAGGTTGCACCATCTATGAAATTCACTTTAAGATATTTGAAGAAAACATTACAAATACTCATTGTGAAAAGGGGCACTGGGCTGACAGGTGGTGACCTTCTCATGGATCTTCCAACCGCCCCAACCCAGACATCCATTTTGGTGAGTCAAGAGGAAGCTTCAGCCTCCAGTTAGCCTAGTTTTTGTCTGCTTCCATCTCCTGCTCCTCATTGCCACCAGAGGACTGTTGAAAAATGCAAATATAGTGCTTCAGTGTTTGCAGCATTGGGGCCCCATGTCTTAGCTCAGCTTAGGAACCTTTGGGGGCTGCTCCCTCCCACCTCTTTATCTGTTCTTTCAATTCCTATTCCCATCAGCACCTTTCCCTGATGCAGGTGCAAACACCACCAATCCTGCTCTCTCCTCTCTGGGCCACCAGACTGGAAAGCCGTCGCCTGCTTTCTCCCGTGGCCACTCCTTGTTATGTGGAGACTTAGCATCAGTGATGTGGGCCCCTCCCTGGTTCTCCAGTCCCAGTGGGCTGCACCCATGTTCCTCTCTTTCATGGCACGTGTCACACTGTGTTGCCACTGCCTGCTCTCTTCCCTCATTAGACTAGAAACCACCTGCTAGCAGGAACCTTTCACAACTCTCTCCCCTCTGAGTCTAATGCAATTTTCACTATATATGAGCTGCTCTGTAAATGCTGTATGCTGGGGCAAAGCTCTTTAGAAAGGTGAATGAGTCATCATGAAATAAATGCTGTCACTGCATTTTTCTAAGTGTACAATTAAATTCCAAGATCTGTAAGTGCTCTGATCACTGATGAGTCTACTCTTGGTGGCAGGTTTCCCCTCTATCTTTTTTTTTCCCACAAGGAACCAACAGATGGGCTGTGCACACTCTTCTGGAGAGAGCTATTAGCATGTCTCTCTGGCTTCATGCCATCTGCTTCAGACCAAAGTACAATATTTAAAAGAAAAAAAGGCAGCACAGGGTAATTGGGTATCATGTTGGGGAACCTGCAGGTCTCACTCGCTTTTCCTGGGGGGCGGATCCCTGAGCTTGGCCTCGCTTCAGACCTGTGAGCTACAGCTCCCTGGCCACTGGCTGTGTGTGTGCCTGGCGGGACCCTCAGTGGAGGGCTGCAGGAGCACTGGCCATGGGAAGCCACTTGGTGGCTGCCACTGTAGCCACTTAACAGCTTAGTAACCATTTACTCATGAACGTTCAACAGGGGAGGGAGGAGGAGCCAAGGAGCATCTGTTTATGTCACAGAGTTCAGCTCAATCATAAATCTCCTTGCTGTGAAGTGAAACACCTGCATTACTGCCTTGCAGTTAGCTTTTTAAAAAGTGGTGAAGACTGCAATTTATAAGCAGATGCTGGCACCTGGGGATACCCTCATTATTTGAATAAAGAAAAAAATTAAGACTAAAATGTAGGAAAAACCTGGAAAAATGAAAGGTCTCCCTGACCTCTATAACCACTTGTATGGTATTTTTCAATGACATTATTTTACCTGGCTGAGTCACTCATTCAAAAAGGGCCCGAATGGGGGCCAAACATTGCCTTGGGTCTTGGAAATGCAACAAAGCATGAAATAAATACATATGTAAGTAAATAAATAAATAAAACTTCACCCCCAGAGCTTACCCTTTTTGCAACAAGCACCCCAAGGGTGCTCTTATTGAGCTCTTTCATTGTAAACCAGAAGCTACAGTAGCATGAGGGGGGTTGATGCAGTTACATAAGGCCTGAGTAGCAGGCTTGGGGCTCCTGAAGAGGGACTGTGGGGTGCTTACTTGTATACACACAGCCAGGAAGTGTTTTAAATGTTCTGCTTCATGAAGTAACTTACACGGTGGAATGATCATTATTCCCATTTTACAGACTGGTTTCCTGAAGTCTAAGAGGGATTCAGCTGAGTGTCACTATGCAGCCTGCTAGTGCTGGGGTCTCTGCACACCCAGCACATCCCCCATGGCTTCACCCTGACCCCATCCAGTGCTACATGTGCAGTTAAGAGATCAAAAGCCTAGATTTAATACTCACATTTAAAAAGCATCCCAAGAAAGGTAAGGGAAAAATGTAGTAGGTCAAGGCATTATTTCCTTCTACTGCAAAAATCAGCATAGTAATGATAATAACAATAATAACATTTTCTACACCAAACATCTATGATGTGCTGACATTTTTCAAGGCACTTAACTTTGTGCTCTCATTTAGTTCTCATGTTATTATTGCAAGGTAAGTATTATTTTAAACTTGATTATGAAAAAACAAAGCCCTTTGGTTCTCACAGGCTAAGTAACTTGCTCAGAAGTCTAAAGCTTATATATAAATAAAGAGCTGAACAGCACTCAACTCCAGCTCACCGGGTGAAAAAGACTCCACTGCCCAACCATTGTCCTGTGTGACCCCATCCATTTCCCTGTCTCCCCACTACTGACAAGGGGGCCTCGAGTGAGTCAATCGAAAGTCAATATCTGCAGAGGCATGTGAGGTCAGTTAAGGGAAGACAAGGTTCTGACTTGAATACCAACAGACACCAGTTCCATTCCTCAGCGTATCTTAAGTAGAGGGGAAAATATATGCTAATGGAATAATTTTAACTCTATGTTCTAATATTGAGATTTTGGAGGAAATTGGTCAGTTTTTTTTTCCCCAGCTGCTAAAGAGCCCGAATCTGGAAGTGCAGAAAGGCTGGACTCATGCAACATTGTAGGTGGAGAAGCAAGACTGAAATGCAGGTCTTCATAGCGCTCAGCTGGAAAAGGCTACGGAGGAGGCCTGGAGCAGGGCCTTCAGTTGCTTTTATCCAGTTACTAGGGCTGGCAGACCTGCGATACTGCCTTGGTCCCACCCTCTCATTTACTGAACAAGGAGTGGAGACTCAGAGGGGATGCCCCCCTCCCCCGACTGAGCTATCATTGCTCTCCCATGTCTCCCTCTCTTGTCCTCTCAGTCTGCTCACTTGTCACTTTTGCATGAGCCCCTCCAGGCTATAACTGCCATCTCTACCTCCTTTCCATTCCCCATAATCTGCTCTACACGTCTTCCCTCTGTAATACATCACCTTCTATCATATCACGTAAGTTACTTATTTTTATGTTGTTTCCTGTCTGCCCCCATAGACAGCAGGATCTCTTGGGCCCTCCCTGGTGGCACAATGGGCTAAGCACAGCCCTATGAAGCAGTCCGGGGTACTGCAGCATGAGTTTGATCCCCAGACAGGGAGGTGACCCAAATGGTAGACAGACCTCTTCTGTTTCACCTGCTGTTCCCCTCAGCAGTGTGTTTCAGTAGATCTGCCTGCTCTGTACCCCATTCGTTCACAACTCTAGCCTATACCCCAGTTCTTGCATGAATAAATAAATAAATCTTAAAAAAAAATAAAAGAAAGGAGGATCTCTCAGAAGGGAGTCTATCTGTGGGCCTATGTAGATGAGGGTGTGTTCAGCACCTAGAACAGCACTCAGTATTTGTATAATAAACAGCCCTGCAGATTAGGAAGTTTGGGGTGCAGGGTTCCCATCATCCATCCCAGCATATCTTCATCGGTCAAAATAGAGGCAAAGCATGGATGTTGCAAACAAAAGGATGAGGGTATGGGGTGCAGTCATTTCCAAATTTCTTATTTAAAAAATACATGCTATTACATTTTTCCCAAGGAAATTGTAAATATCCATTTTAGGTAAGGAAAACTGGTGATCACCACTGTCCCATTTTAGAGATGGGTAAAACAGGATCAACTGGGACGCTGAAATTTAGTTATTAAGCGAATCTCTAGGCTAGGGGCAGATTCTAAGTTGTAATTTAGATCCTTGGACTCAGAAGGAATAATTCAAACTACTTCAGAACAGGGTATGAATTTTTAATTCACTGTGAGTAACAGCAAGGTTTATATTTGGTGGCAAGAATTTGCTTCTAACACTATGTAATTAAAGGTAATTATTTATAGAAAAATGCAAGAAGATTTGTATTCTAAAATATTCAAACTCTGCTTGCTATTTATAAGAATAAAGTAGAAAATGAAAGATGAAGCCACAGATTTCAAATATGTAGTTAGAAAAAGGCATACAACTCTGTTTATGACTCCCATATCTGTACCAAGAACTAATGTCCCTTTAGGTTATGTCCAAGTGGAGGGCCCTGCCTATATGAGTCAGTGCCAGATGCCATGGAAACCAGTCAAGAAGTCTGTGGCTCTAATTTTTAACTCATCTCATATAGTAGCAGTAGCACATACGTGATACACACACACACACGTAATTTACCCTGTTGTAAAAGTAATATATCCATGTTAAAGATATTTGGAAAATAGAACAAATACCTTCTAAATTACTAACAGCCCCAATTTGCTCCCAATTCACAGCAGTGGTTTGCCATCTCTCAGGGTTTCTCTTTGTGAGTGCAAACTGCCTTCCCCAATTCTATACCAAATGAGGCAGGTTCCTTCTGTCAGGTTCCTTCTTCAAGAGATCTTTGGAGATCCCCTACTCACTACCCTCCTTCCTTCTGGCTGAAATGGATGGGAGGAAATGAAATGGACTGTTTGGCATGACTGTGTATAAACCAAGCCAAGCTCCCTAAAGCTGTACACCAATGTAACCTGGGATACCAAGCTTTCAGGTGAAAGTTCCACACACCACAGCTTTGTAAACATGCCCTGCTCCCAAATGCCCTTGCGGCACATGGTACCTTCTGAAGTCACCCAAAGAGTCACAAGGTGCAAATGGTGTTTACTATGGAGCTGGTCTGGCCTAGTTTACAGCAAGTGGTTCAATCAAACCTTTTACTTTCTCGGTGGGTAGAGACCAAAGGAAAGGAAGCAGGTGGAAGAGGGCTTACCTGAGGGTACAGCAGCAGTGCCGAAAGGTACAGAGCCAAACATGTCTGCACTGGCCGGAAGTGTCTGAGATGAAGATGGGATAAAGGCATCACCTGGAGTAGCAGGAGTCTGTCAGACAGAGAGAGGCAGAGGAGACATGAGGATCCTGGGAGCTCTGGCTCAGAGATCATGGTGGACAGGGAGCAGCAGGTACAGGAATTCCCAGGGTGGTAGAGGTGCAGGAATGAAGGGCGATGGAGGGGCAAGAATTAAGGGAAGTGATTTTGCAGAAGCAAGCCATGACCAAGGTCACTTCTGTGGTGTGCAGACCATGAGCTGGTTGGATGCACTCAATGGGTAAGGTGGAAAAAAGTGATTATGTTGAGAGTTTCTGTGAGGATTAAATGAGATCCTGCATTTCAATCAGTGCCATGTTAGGCACATGGCTAGTTTCAGCCCCTACCTCTTGGTTCTATTTTCTGGCCCTCAAATTATCCCATAATATCTGGCTTTCACCCTCTAGAAGTGGTCAATTTAAATCACCATACACCCATTCAGGACCTACTGTGCACCCAACTCCACGTTTGTTATTTAACACACATTAAATTGGTTGACTAAAGAATCAGATAGAGCTTTGTGACTGGAACAGAGGCCCTTGTACTCTGATACCGCCCAGAATTCAGCTTGAATCTTCACTTGCAATAAAGGCAATTGATATTTTCAAGAAGATGATGTAAAAAAATAATAAAGGTGCCTGAGCAGCCGAAAATTCTATAGTGATTGGCCATGCTGCAATTCCAGAAAGGTCTGTTGCATAAATTGGTGGGTAAGTTGAGGGCCAATGAAATAAAAACACCAGTGCTCACTTTTCCTTAAGATCTATACCCATTTACAGCACTCTTTTCCCTACAGCATTTGTCTGCTCAATGCTATAATATCCTTAATTTCTTTTCCCCTTGGAACAGACCAGGGCAAGCAATTAATCCTGAAACCATGGCAATTAGACAAGGCCATTTTTAGACTAGCAGCTTGCAGGACGAATGGCATTGTTCTGAGGATTATTAAATACCCATTTGGACTGCACTTGGGTTCAGGGCCAGAAACACAGCCCTGAGTTGCTGCGTTAAGCACTTTTAAAGACAATCAACACTGTTCCCTTTTTCCTCTATGTGACCTTGGGAGCATCACATTGCTTCTTGGGGACTCGGTTTGCTCATCTGTAAAATGAGAGAAGGCTGGAGGATTTTTTCAGACCTTTCAAGCTTCAAAGTCTACACTTCTGAGAATCCAAGAGCCCAGGGTGCAGCTGGTAACCCCAGAAGGGAGGAGAGAACATCAAGCACTAGAGAGGACCAGCTTCCCCGGAGACAGGAGCTGCTGTCCGTCCATCATGGCTGCTTTGGACATCAGGTGTTCAGAGCATGGCATCTGCGCCTCGATTCCCTGGCGGCAGCCGTGGGCAGCAGGATCCTGTGCCATCTGTCCTCAGTGGTGAGGTTACAGCCTTTTCTCTGGAATGCTCATATCGCCAATGAACCATAGCAACATCCCTTGCTTTGCACAACTACACGTTGCCCAGAGGAGCTGCCCTGCCCAGCAGCTTCAGCTGGTGCAGCTGTGGCTGACTGCTCTCCGCCCACCTCCGGGGAGTGGACCAGGAAGAGCTGGCAGGACCATTTAGCCCCTTTTCTTTGCAGTGGCTTCAGGGTTGCCTTTGAATGCATCTTATTCTCAAAGCACTGGGGTTCTAGTTTACTTTGGTTTCCTTCCCCCTCCTTCTTTTCATGTTCAAATTAGTGTTCCCTGCAATCTCTGTGCCTTGGAAACGTTAGCTGGCATACACACGCTGAAACTGGAGCTGGAATCCAAAACTTCATGAGAAACTCAATGAAGCCTGGAGAAAAGATGGAAGTGGGAAGAAACAAAGGGATGAGGGAATGGGAGGAACAAGAAAGGGCAAGATGACAGGGCAGAAAGGGGCAGAAGATGCTGCCTTTACTAGGTCTTAGGGAGGTGCCCTCAATGGCTGCAGGTGACAGACTGTTGAGTTTCTGCCCATATTCCTGAGGAGACCACATGGTCCTTGCAGGCAGAGGTCACGTCTAGTTCATGTCTCTCCCCCATGCAGCAGCATAGCAAGCACATAGCATGCGATTGCTGATGTGTGGTCTCATTTAGTTCTCGAAACAGAGGCATGTAGTATAATAATTCCTTTTTTAGAGGAAACTGAGGTGTAGAACAGCTAGTAACTTGCCCAAACCACATGGCTTTAAAGAGTTGGTGTCGATGGGCCCTCCCTGGTGGTGCAGCGGGTTAAAGCACAGCACTAAGAAGCTAAAGCCACTTCAGCATGGATTCAATCCCCGCCCCAGAGGTGACCCACATGGCGCGGCAGACCTCTCCTGACCCGCCCGCTGCTTCCCTCAGCAGTGTACTTGTCAATCTATCTTTTCTGCTCCTCACTCTGTCTCTGTGAATCCTCTCACCACCACGGTACCCCAGTTCTGTATGCATAAATAAATAAATCTTTAAAAAAAACAGAGTCGGTGTTGAAATTCATTGGGAAGCCTCTTTTAGTCAAAGCCCCTGTGCTTGCCACTGTTAACTGGAAAAGAGCAGGAACATGGGCTGGAGGGAGTGCATACTTACGGGGGGAGAGGTTATATCAGGAGGGGTTGACATGTCCCCAAAGAGTTCTAATTGGGTCACAGCCTGAAAAACAAAAAGATAACACTGTCACCACACGGAAAGCTGCTGTTGCTGGGCAGCTCTTTAAAAATAGTTGGAAATGTGGACACATTATTTTTTTTTTTTCATCAAGACTTTAGAAACAATAAACCTGCTGGTCATTACTCTACCTCATGCTCCCATAGTGTCTGGGATGTGGCCAGAATCAATTCTTGTATCTGTGTCTGTTTACTTGGGCTTACTCAAGGAGATGGCTCCTTAGCTACTTTCCACAGCAATAACTTCACACATATTTAACATCAAATGCCAATACTTTTTCTCATCTTTGAGAGACAAAGACAAGCAGGCAATCCCATCACTTGTTCTTCTTTCCCGAGTATATCCACATGGACAAGATGTGCTCATACTCCAAGACAGGACTTTATAGCCATGTCTCAGTAAATGCTCCTAATAAAAGCAACCCGGCTAGGTAGAAGTCATCATCCCCATTTTTATAGATGAATAAACTGAGTCTCATAAGTGACCTCAGGCTGGGATGTGAAGTTTCTTCACACACAGTCAAATGACAGGCCCTGAAAGGGTCTGTCTTTAGGATAAAAAATGTAGTTGAAAGAAAAGAAAACATATCATTTAATACAAGGAAGGGCATCCAAAACAGCCCAGTATATATACTATTAATCACTCCCAGGAACTCCATCACTGCAGACACTGGATCATATGCATTCCCATCTATCATACAGTGCCTGAGCAAGGCCAGCCGTAGCAATGCCAGAAACCCTTTAAGATATACTTAGAAATAAATATGCATACACTTCTAGCTCCACAGACTGTAGGGAGTCTATGGCCAGGAACCAAATGGCTTGACTTAATTATGAAAAATATATAATTGCATTCTTTTTTTGCAAGTCTACCCACTGAGGGAAACGAAACAAAACAAAACAAAACAAAACACTTCCTATTCATCTTCAGATTTTAAGTGATGGCTCCTAATGGGGGACACCTAAAAACAGCACTCAGAAGTGGGGGGGTGGGTGTAGAGTTTGCATGCCTGTCACACAGAACCCCTGTATGGGAATTCTGCTTGAACCAGGCATGGCTGAATCTCCATGATTTGAACAAGAAAGGAAGGCTTTCTCCTACTGCAGAGTCAGTGAGCTCTGGGGGCTGGAAAAGGCCCCATGCCTGGGAACAGACCTGGGTCTACCACTTTCAACCAAGTCCCACTATACAGGAAGACTTCAGTCTGGTGGGGATGATCCCCAGATGTGGAAGATTTCAAGGTGATGCATGAGAGATGGCGACAGAGATCTGTACGGGGCACTGTGGGAGAACCCAGATGAGCCAGTCAGCTTTTGGCAAAGAAGTTCAATAAGAGCTTTCCAAAGAAAACAGCCATCTGAATCCAGAAGAGGAGAAGGTGTTAGCCAGGTAACCATGCAGAACAGAGGTGGCCCGGGCAGAGAAAATACACAAGCAAAAAGGAGGTGTGTTGTAAACAGTCTGGGGTTACCAGCATGAAGGTGAGCAGCAGAGCAGAAGCCTGTAAAGTGTAAGTGGCCAGACCCAAGGTCATGGTGGAACTTGAGTGCCTGTCAGTCTCTGCCCCCACTAGCTTTCTGTCGTAGGGGAACAGTCCAGCACTAGGGGACAGTACTGAGGTGGCCGGCATCCACATCTGCCTTCGGGCAGCCTCCTTTAGTATATGAACAGTATTTAATGTTATTAGTGAAACTCTGCCAATCCTTTAGGCTCTCTCCTAAATTCATAAGAGGAATAATTCTATTTAATCATTTCAAATGAAGCTCTGGGCTTCCTTGCAAATGGAACTCACTGCTTTTAAAATGGCCCACAACTATTTTCAGTGGTAAGAAAATATTAAAATGAAGTTAATAATTAAGTCACACAATTTACATTTCAAATGTGCTGAACTCGTGGCATGCTTTTACTAACATCATAAATATAATTTATTGGCTAATTTTCTCCTTAAGCGCAACTTTTAAAATAACCTTCATTCTTGAGCTATAGACTTTCCTCTTGCCAGATGATTTTCACTCAAGGATTAAACGAGAAAAACATGTAGAGGCATAAAACATAGATTGTTATTTCATTTCATTGGATTTGCTGTTTAAATAGAACCTTGAGTTAATTAAATTTTATAGAAAAAAAGGGATTCTCAGGCCATAAAATTAAAAATAATTCTAATAACCCTATGTGATTGAGAATCTGGAATATTATCTATTTTCACAGCCCCCTCCCCATGCTAACCCCACTCCTTTATTTGTAACTTAATAAGCCATGTTCCATCTGATAATATTGTCGTAATTAATCATTTTAATGACGTTAAGAGAATAACCATTCACATCTGTTACACACTTTGTAGTTTATAACACATTTTCCAATACATCATCATCATGGTGTCGCTGACTGAGTCCCATGCAGATGAGAGTGTGGGGTCATCTCTCAGTGTGTGTGGTACACAGATGAGCTCCCTGAGGCAGGAATTGAGTGATTTGCCTCTGATCAATTAAGGGAAGTTACCTGACTAAGTCAGTTAAAGGTGGGTGGACTTGACCCACAGTCCAAGAAACATTAGTTTTGTCTGTCTACCTACATACTTACCTACCTACCTACCATCCATAAGTCACAGAGCCCTAGTTAGCCCTTATAAGTGGTACCAGTCCAGTTCCACATAGTCTATAACTAGAAGCCAGGGTTCCTAAAAGGTCAGCCATGGTGAACACCGATTAATCTGCATTGGTGAAAGTCAGCTGAAGAAGCTACTCCCCTTGAGTTATTGGCTCATCAGATCGCAGGTAGATGTGTGGCTTTCAATGGCAGGTTCTGCTCCCTCTTTAGGGTCTGAGCATTTCCCAGGGTAAACAGAGTGACTCTGGAAGCTGCCAAGGTCAGTTCTTGACTCCTGCAGGAGGATCCCTTCATCCTCCAGGCTTGTTCCTTCCCTAGCCATTCTGTGACACAAAAAATGTTTCCCCAAGAAAATTGCCATTTCAAGATTAGTCCCATCCTTTTTTCAATCAGACTGCTGCAACTAGATTTTGATGTCCCTCCCATGGAGAAATTCTGAAGATGCCACTGATAAAGGCTGAGACATCCTGGGCTGACTTCCAAGACACATTCTTACAGACCCATTCTCTGTGATTTGACATCAGGAGTTCCTCATGTAGGAAAAGTATGAAGCTCCCACTGTACATCAGCTACTGAATCAAAACTAAGGGATGCAGAGAAGAGCAAGACTTTCTGTTTCTATTGTGTTGAGCAGGTTATTCCAAAGAACAGACACAGACCAAGGCAGTGTTATGGAAGAAAGGCCCACCAGGTCATGAAAGGAAGGGTGACCTTAGGGACTTTCACATGCCCTTGCTTCTCCCAGGAATGCTCATTCCACCCCCTATTCAATTCAACACACATTAGAGGATTTCTTTTTTCTTTCTTGGACAAGTTTCCTACCTCAGTTTGTACTCCATAACAGCTAATATAATATACTTAAATCAAAGGTTCTCAATTGCTGCAGGTAATTTCCATTGCTATAGGTAAAATACTAATGTCTGGCTTCTACCTCTAGAGATTCTGATTTCAATTGGTTTTAGGTGTAGCCTAATAACTGGGACTTTAAAAGCTCTCTTGCTGATTCTAATTTGCAGCCAAAGTTGAGAACCCATGTTTTAGAGGCTTCCCCAACTCTCTGTACTCAGAGGTGATGATACTCATTGGCTTGTATATCAACTGGTCTGAATAAACAAACACAGGCTGTAAAGCAGTACATCTATTTCAGGGTATACTGAATGAACAACTCTGCCTGGTTTTTACTCCCAGTGGTGCGCTTAGCACGCCACTGCGTTACTGCCCTATCCCATCCTGTGTGATGTTACACTAGGATACAGTACACGCTTCTTGGAGACGGTCTATGAGGGTGCCTGGGACATGACCAGAGATGGAAAAATGTGTTGAATGAAACAAAGGAGTATCACTTACTACTCTCCAATATGCACAAGCACACAGACACAGACACAGACACACACACAACTTGACCTCATTGCAGGACCCACCAATAGTCTTCCTGTGGACATTAGAATAGGAACTCAGGCCCTCCCTGGTGGCGTAGCGGGTTAAAGCACAGCACTGAGAATCTAAAGCTGCTTCCGCATGAGTTCGATTCCCGCCTGCCCCGGAGGTGTCCACATGGCGAGGCAGACCTCTCCTGACCCACCTACTCTTCCCCTCAGCAGTGTACTTAGTAGATCTGCCTGTTCTGTTCCTCACTCTGTCTCTGGTGAAGCCTCTCACTGCCCCTGAGCCTCTTGCCTGACCCCAGTTCTGTATGCACAAATAAATAAATCTTAAAAAAAAAAAAAAAGAATAGGAACTTAGTGGAGGAGAGGAGAGCAGATCATCTGCCATTCCTGCAAGCTCCGTGAGGAAAACATGGATACAAGAGAATGAGTAACATGGATACAAGAGAATGAACAGGACAACCTCTCATTTAATAAGAGCCTAGAAGTGGGGGGCTTACCTTTGTTGCCTCAAAAATCTCATCAAAGTCCAGGGGCAGATTTCTGTTCTGTAACCACAAGGCATGACTTATGAGCATGAAATGAGCGATGGGGTGATGACATGAAACAGTTAACCAGAAAGGACCCTCTCGTTCTTACCGGGATGGCTGCAGCAAACCGTTCTTCAAAATCCTCAAATGGATGACCGTTCTGAAAGTGTAAGGGACGATGAATGATGAAGTGGATGACACACAAATGACAAGGATTTATGAGTTTAATGATGGCGGTATCTATGGTTTATACTCCCATGGTCTCAGCAGAGGCATACTCGCCAGTGTACTGTGAAGCCCTGGAATATGTTCATAGCAGATGCTAACGCAGGCCCGCTTAGGGAATTCAGAGATGGGAAGGGCGTGCATTTATAAAGTCCACCTTCCTGGAATGACAAACTTTACCCAGCCCATCTCAACAGTGGTAACCGGTAAGAATATGATGCTTATGCTGGTGATTTTT